TCGCTTTCGACATATATTAGACGCCTAACGACAGGTATGGATGAGTCGAGGGCTAAGAGAATGTTCGCCCAAATAGTGTCGGCCGTAAACTATATGCACGTCAAGAAGTTCGCGCACAGAGACATCAAAATGGGTAATATTCTGTTGGATGAGAACAACGATGTCTTGGTTTCCGACTTTGGCTTAAGTCAAGTGACGTTCCGCGAGAAGAAGGGAGGGATTATTCGGTCCAACAAATTCTTGGGAACCTTTCCATATATGGCGCCCGAGATATTCGCCGCCAAACTCGACAAGAGCTGCACTTATAACCCGTTTCCGGCCGACGTCTGGGCGTTGGGTGTAATCCTATTCGTTATGATTAACAGAAGGTATCCGTTCGGCGAGAATGAGAAGATGCCGATCGACCAAATGCTGGCCAATCAGAGGGCGTTCTCCTCGTGGACCGAACCGCTCAACCGATTCAAGAAGCCGTCCAAAGAGTTCGAAGATATCATTAAAAAGATGTTTGTATTCAAAGCTGAGGACAGAATTACAGCCAATGATCTCTGCGATCACCCGTGGATTAGACAAGAAGTGAGTCTTATTAATAACAGAATCGCCGCTCAAAGCAAGACATAAATCAATGTTTTTATCGAATATTTATTTTATAAAATTTACAATTGATTTAAAATTAAAAATATATACAAACACAACATAAATACAATTATAATATAAATAAATTATAAAAATGTATTATTCAGAATCACTGCTATTATAGGCGACTAAAGAATTAGTAATTTGTTTATTGCTATCGTTATTAGAAGTGATTTTAAATTCAGTTAAATTTTTAGTAGATTTGTTTCCACTGTCTGTTAATTTATCGCGTGTTTGGAAACTACTCTTAATGTCAAACATCTTCGAGTCGTCCATAAGTTGTTTGGTTTTAGTGTTTGCGACCAAATGTTTGTCAAAAATGGATTTCTTCAAAATAGTCTCTCTTTTAACTTTTTGTCGGTCTTCGAGTGCTATTGCAATGAAATCAAACAAAAAAAACATTAAATTTTGGTCATATCTAACATATAAATAATGTTAGAATTAATTGAGTGCTAACTTTGAGTGGATTCTAGTTTTATGAGTTGCGCTAACTTTGAGTCGTCTTTAGATTCCGGGAATAACTTCATAGACAAAGGAAGCGACGACTTCTTGAGTAGCGATCGATCGGAATCTGAAATCACTTTCAATTCCTTTTTCTTTGTCTTAAATATAAAATTAATTTAATTAAAACACAAATCATTTTAAAAGTAAGCAATTTATTACTCGAAACGTCTGCCGAATGGCTCTGTTGTGGGAATAGTCGTCTTTCCATCGCTTCTGAAACACTTCCAACTCTTGTATGACTGGCGCCACACTCTTGGCCTTCGCTTTGTCCTCGACTTCGTGTTCGAGTTTAAACATGGAATCTGTGGCCAACTTTTTGGACACTTCCCTCTCTTCGGGCACAACCTGTTCGTTGTCTATTGTATGACTGGCGCCACACTCTTGGCCTTCGCTTTGTCCTCGACTTCGTGTTCGAGTTTAAACATGGAATCTGTGGCCAACTTTTTGGACACTTCCCTCTCTTCGGGCACAACCTGTTCGTTGTCTTTGGGATCCCAACGGAGTTCCTGACGTCGAGCGCCGCTCAGTATAACGTAATCAAAATTCTTGGGATCCGTTTGCATCTCAAAGTGATTGTCACACAAATGACATTTCATACGAAACTTATGTATAGGAGTCGTGTAATACATCCCAGTCTTCGACTTCTGGGCGTTAAATCGGACACTCATTCCGATGTGATTATTACAGCCATCGCACCAAATATTGTACGGCATCTCAAACCTGATCCCAGAAACGAGATAATAAGTGACAAACAGTTACCACTAAAGACAATGAATGGTCAGACCTAATGATAAGTATTCCCTCATGAAGTTTGCGCGCTCTGTCTCTGAGGGGATGACTTCCGCGGTATTTATTGATGGATCGGAACCGCCCGCAGGTTAGCCCGCCTATCATAAACAACTGGCGAAAAGAGAGGCGGAAAGGTAAGTTTGTCTGTAAGTTAATCATAAAGTAAGAATAATTTTCAATAAATTGTTTACCATTTTTGTGATCAATTAGTGGTCACTCCCGAAGAATTGATGGATAAGTTATCGCTAAAGATTTGTGTCACAGAAGTCAACACAAATCACATCCAAAAGTGATATCAATGTTAAATGTATTGTCACAACAAAAATAGTAAACAAATCGTAAGCTTTTGTGAGATTTCATCACATTTTGCATTGAATTGAATAATAGTTTTTGTGAACAAAAATTACGACAACTTTTGCCACAAATATTTTGCATGCATTTCAATGGCAAAGGGTTTGCGTTAAATTGTGTGTAATTTATGCGGTTTTTTGTCACATATTTTTGAGACAATATTTTTAAAACATTACTTTTTGTGACAAATTATTTCTTGTTTTGCCAACAAATCAATTGAATCCATGGATAACGAGTGTAAGTATCGCTTAACCATTGATTCACACTTTGTTTATCGCCGGTTATGTAACAATTGTCTGTTATTTGTAGCGATCCGTGAGTACTACGAGCGAGAGTTGGCCAATGAGAACAGTCCGGCCATCGCGACCCTCAAGACATTGATTGAGTTCCTCAAGAAAGACATATGTATGACATGTGGCCACACATTCAATCGTTATTCTTGTCACTCAATCACTAATGATTGTATTGCATGTGTTTTGGTGTCTCGTCATAGCGTTGACAGCCTTAGGTCTTCGCGAGAACGTCCGGTCGGCCATTGAATTGCTGAAGAATATTGAGCCCATCACTGAAGTGGAATCAGTCGCTG